GCATAATGCATGTACTGTGGAAATCAGTCTGCTCAGGGTTAGCAGAGAGGTGTCAGGTGGAGGTTAAAAAAATTTAATGTAGAGATCCAAAATTCCATCTATTATGTTTCACGAGCCTTTATCAAAACTACTGGTTTACAATCCTCCTACCCAAAGTCTTTCCAATAATGCCAGCTGAAAGGAGGGAAGGGAAGGGAAACTACATCACTTCAGAGAGAATGCACATGACTGAAAAGAAGACAATTTTATAACATAGCCTTTTTGAGAGACTATTTATTGCACATGCCATATGCTACCTACTCCTGCTGGGAGAAATTCCTAAGTTGTAGACAAGATGCTTGCTCTCTGTGAAATCAAACAAAAGTGTTTTTGATGTTATCATCCACCACAGTGAAATGCTTGGATACCATGGGATTTCACTTAAAGAAGGTCTATCCTCTAGTGTAATGGTGTAGGAAGAGAGAGAGAAAGAGAGGGATAGCATTTCATGTAGTGCATGGAATACGCAGTAAACCAAAATGTGGTCTTCTTGATAATATAGCCTTTACAAAGGCTGAAAAATAACCAAAGCAGAAAGCAATTTAATACACTAAGGATCCAACTTAGGTTTTAAAAATATGTTCTCCTTTTGATGGTCTAATATTTACTGAACACTAACAATGTTCAAAAAGGTATGCATTAAAACATTTGCCAGGAACACAATCATCAAACACTCCGACAGCTTTGGGGAAAATGAATGCTAGAGAAAGGGTGTTTCTTCAGAAGCTTCGCATCCAAAGAACAGTGACACAGCTGGGCTTGCCAGCAGTGCCTGCCTCCCTGCAGCACAGCTCAAAGGTTTCGTGAGAAGTTTGACTACATAATTCAACTGTATAAAGAGTCACCTGGGAAGTGGATAACTGAGCTGTTGATATATGTATGCATTTAGGACATTCTTAACCAATACATTGTTCAAGCAATAATTAGCAAATCATAGCAGCATAAACTCTAAACAGTGACTTCACTACCAAGTGGAGTTAATAAATGAGTAATAGGTTATAGTGCCAAATGCAATCCATTGTCTGATTTCTTCACTGCTGCTCCCACTGACACTGATTGTTAATCCAAGCAAAGTGAAATCACTGACAACTTCAAATTATTTCTCGTTATTATAACTCTTTATTGGGCCGCTCATTAGAACTTTTGTTTTCTTTAGGTTCGTGGGTAATCCATATTGAAGGCGTAGTCTCTGATGCTCATTTGCAAATGCTTCCAGTTGCCTTCAATTACAGCAATCAAGGATGTATCACTGGAACATCTCAGTTTATTAGGATTCTCTTTCTAATCTTCATGCTGCATTCCTTTTGGATATCATCCAGTTTCTGGAATTATTTGTCCATCATACAGAGTGAAGAACGACGGTAAAAGGCTACATACACCACCGCTGCACATCTTTTTCCAATTATGAAGCATGCAGTGTCATCCTCTTCTGTTTGAATGAATGCCTCTTGGTCTGTGGACAGGATCCATATGAACACAATTAAGTGTTCTGAAAACCCCATCTTTGAATGTTATCCATCATATGTTATAATGCTCATAGTCACATATCTACACACATGAGATAGTTTATTGTGCCAGCTTGGCCGATAAACACAAGTGGGATTAACTGAAGGGTGGAGCTATAAATGGCTCGGTGAGCTTCGCCTTTCTTGTCTCTCACTCTGTGATCATCGGACCAGTGTACGGCTGCCTTGCTTATTCTGTGCCTCAATTTACAGGCTACACTACCTGTGGGACGCCTAGTCTGTGAACTGTCACTGTAAATTGAGGTTCCTTTAAGACATCTCTGGAGCTGGGGACTGGCGGTGGGTGACCTGCCTGACAGTTGGTGACCTGCCTTATGATTGGCTGTTGTGTTGAGATAGCCTAGCTCTCTCTATATATAGGGGAAGACCTGGCAGCAGACTAGACTTGAAGGACTGCTAGTGTCTCACAACTGTCTCTCACAGGAGCGAGTTGCACTGAGCCATTTGTACTGCTTTATAATTTAACTGTTCATTTCTTGTATTATATATTTACCTGTATATAATTTAACAGTTCATTTCTTGTGTTATATATCTAATTATCTT